AACAGTTCTGATTCGTCAAAATTATTTTTTATTTTCATTTTAAGATTAAACGAATCTCATTATTTGGGTTAGAAAACTAGGGACTGGGGTTTATCTATTAGTGGTTAGGGTATAGTATCATGCCCAAAACTCCGATAAATTCATGATTTAAATAGCAATACTCAAACGGGCGTACGGTAGTCTAACGTACGCACGGGCGTACGCCAGCCTGAACCATATATATATGTATATATATATGGTGGCTTCTATGGTACCCCGGGTGAAATCCGGGGTACCGCATACCTCGAGTATGGAAACTCTATCTAGACCTCGAATTACCAGGATTTTTGTGTCTGATATTATACCCTAACCCTTATTGAGTGAACCCTAGGTCATAATTATCTAAAGCATAATCTATAAACCCTAAGATGGTGCATCCAAATTTTGTGCCTATATTTGGATGAATCATAACCGTCGATTATTATTTCTAATTAAATTGATCTTGGAGTATAATATTGGGAGAGTTAACACCTAGATTTTGATCTTTAAGTGTTAGAGTATAGTATCATGTCCGAAAGATCGGTCAATTCAAGGTCTAGATAGTGTTTTCATACTCAAGGTATGCGGTACCCCGGATTTCACCCAGGGTACCGTAGAACTCGCCATATATATATATATATATATATGGTGGCTACTTCGGTGCACTCGCTTTTTCTCTAAAAGTAGCCATAAACATCAAATTTTGAATTTTAACTGGTAGCATTAGTCTAATATGATGATATAACAAAGAATCTCATCTAATCAATCCATTACCTTAACCCCTAAACTTTCAATTTTGAACACCAACCCAAAATCCCCAAATGTGAGCCCTAACCCTAACCCTAAATCCCTAAATCCTTCAAATCAAAGCAAATACTTAATGATTTTTTTTAAATTAAATGATTCTTTTGACATGGGTTAGAGAATTAGGGAGTATATATACTCCCTATATATATGCATCATTTTTATTTTTACGTAACTCAGCTAGATCAAAAGTTGTAGAGTGGATGTCGGTAATAAAGTATACCGTGGAATCGAAATCCGGATAGAACATTTTAAACATCTTCCAACAATTATGATTATATTATTATACGTCAATATTAATATTTTCATATTCTACCAATTCAAGTCTATTGAAATAATTACTAACTAATTAACATGACATATCTAAGATAATATATGTCCAATTTTCTTATCTTATCTTATCTTACTATATATTATGGTTGTTCAAAAACAATTTCTTGCCACATAAGCACTCGGAGAATTCACAAGTTGTCAAGGTACACAATTTCTTTACAAGCAAAAAAGTTAGTTAATGACTTATTTATGGAGTTATCTCTCTTCTTTTAATGAAGTTTTCTTTTATTCAATAATTCTTTTTTGTTTTTTGTATTATATATATCTATGTTTGTAGAAAAGGCTGTTTGTAGAGTGATATATCACTTTGTTTAAACAAAAGAAATATCTTATTAAACTTTATCAAGTAAATTTTCTACTAATTTTAAACAAAGACACACATAAACAATAATATGTTCATCAATTAAACAAAATATAATGATGGAAATAAAGAAAATAATTGTTAGAAAATCAATCTACTTTCAGAAACGAACTATGTTATTTTATATTCTTGGCTATTAAACACACTCTTATTTAGAGATGGCAACCAAACCCATGGCCGCAGGTGCCCAACCGCCTCCGACCCAGTCAATGCGAGGAATCTTCGCATTGATTGGGTATGGGGATAGTATGGGTAAAACACGCAATAATTTAAATGGAGATGGGCGGATATGGTTTTCAAATCCCCCGCCCCATACCCATACCCAAACCCGCTGCACCGAGGATTATCTGTTATATGCATAAAATATAACGAGTCTGTTGTAAAATATAATTGATGGCAACCAAATCGTAATTTCATCCACTTATGTATCAGTTCCATACTTTTGGGCAGGTAGTACCAATATTTTTTACATATTTTTTTTATGGTGAGTAGCTTATGGGGCGGGTATTACCCCTGGGTATCCGAAAACCGCGTGTATGGAGATGGGTTCGTAAAACCTTCCACCGTATGGGTATGTGGCGGGTATGGATTTAGGTATTCGAAAATGGGAATGGGAATGAGGATGGTTTAGGCAAACCCGACCCATTGCCATCCTTACTCTTATTTCTAATTAATATATCTATTAAATAAAACAAGTATTATATAGTAAAAGTTCTGGATAGAAACTTAATGTTGTACAAATATTATATGACATGTGTGAATATTAGAGAAATCTTTGTTGACGATGTACGATAAACATTATGTTTCATCAACCACTAATCAAACATGGGTTGACAATTTTCATTTAATAGTTGAATGTCTTCTACATTAAAAGCATTTATAGTTAGAAGACTGTAAACCGAGCTATTAGGTTAAAAATGAAGAATCTTTACAAGCATGAGATCAAGACAATTCTAATAAGTCATTTGGTTGCATGATTGTGAGTATGTGACTCCATGGGCTGAGGGTTAGTACAAATTTCAAGAATTAGCAATTGGTACATATTGAGTAAGTAAAATTTAATAGCTATATCTTTCAAAATTTTCAAAAGTTTAACCAAATATTTTGTATTAAATATTTTGTATCGCGTCAAAATATTAATAATTTCTCTGTTATCTTTAATAATTTTGTAAATCTTCTCTTCATTAAAATACTAAAATTTTGAATATTGATTGTCAGGTGTCTCCTCAAACTCATCATCATGTTGTTGAGTCAATATTAATAACAAAAATGCTAATGGAGAGTTAACATTTGGATAATACTTTGTATTTTGAAAGGTATGGTTGATAATTTTAAAAGTTTGAAAGATTTGATTAATAAATTGTATTTACTCTATTGTCTAAGATACTAAATTTGAGTGTCTTGATAGACAAATTTTGACACTGCAGAGACTTATGAACATTCACATAAACACATGTCAAGATTAGATAAGTTGATCATAATAAGGGGTACGGTATGTGTCAAGTTTCAGTTGGGATAAACACAATTTATTGAGTAATCAAATATCTTTATCCAATAATATGAACACTTTATAATTGTTCAAGAATCACGAAATTTTATATGTTTATAAGATTAGAAAAATTGAATGGCTTGGTTGACAAACTTTTGTATACTATTCTAAATGTGACCAACCTTTTGTATACTATTCTAAATATGGTTTACTATTAGAGAATCGAAATCTATGAAGATCATAGGTGAGTGTGCTAAATATTGAGAATTTTTAATATGAACATATAGCATACTCACTTATGAAGCGTGAGCCTAAAAAGTTAGAAAATTAAAAATGTTTTATACATGTAGATAATTTAATTTATATATATGATAAAATGAAATTTTCCTGCCAACCGGCCGGGTAAAAACCTGTCCTATAATAAGCTCAATGAACTAATTATCATAAGTATACATAATTTATTTATATATAAAAATCTAAATTTTAAGTAGAATTTATTTAAGAAACCTACTATTAATAAGTGTAATAAATTAAGTACTGTAATTAAACACAATTTATTTGTAAATCGAAATACTAAACCCTAAACATTAGAATTGTTAATTGGTTCGCTATGGTTTTATTATGACCATAACCATTCAGTCGGTTACGGTTAACCGTTAAGCAATTTGTGCCCACCATTAACCGCACTGTTTATATTAGTTCAGTTAATCGTACAGTTAGTTATTGATTATTTTGTTGGTTAACCGACTAACTGTTAAGCAAGTGACTTGGAAAGGCTAGACCAAAATAACCGATTGGTAACCAAACCTACTAACGAATGCCTCCTTTTTTCAATTGTGCATCTTTCTAGATTTTTCCTACATTTGAATGCGTTTTTTTTTTAATTTTAGCATTGAGTAAGAAATAATTATCATAGATATTAATCTATAATCAAGTCAAACCGGCACAAGTAAATAATAACATCATTCTAGCATTGAATAAAAAAATGTACAATTTATATTAGTTCAGTTAACCGTATAGTTGGTTATCGGTTATTTGGTTGGTTAACCGAATAATCATTAAGAAAGTGATTTTGAAAGGCTAGATCAAAATAACCGATTGATAACCAAACCTACTATGAACGCCTTTAAATGTATAAGTTCAAGTTGTACCATCACATAACGGTAGAACTTTAAGTTGTACAATAAAATATTCTGTATAAAAGAGTGTAAGTACAATCTGAAGTTGTACCATAAAGGCAAAAACCTATAGCACCAATGCTAAATAGCATTGTTAAATTCCTCTAGTTGTTTATGGTCAATAAATAAAATGAAAAATAGGAAAGCCACATGTGTATGACGGTGGCTTGATTTGGAATGGCTATAAATAGGGAACGGATCAGGTGTTTTAATCGTGTGGTCAATAACTCATCCGTAACCTGCCATATCAAAGGCAACATCTCCTTCGTTTTAAGTTAGCATTTACATGTTTTTTTCACAGATAAATTGTGTTCTTCAAAATGATATCCACTTTGATATATTTTTTGAACAAAAAAAAAAATGTTACATTTTGTACCAGTCTATACCATGGTATTATTTACTACATAAGATCATACCACATGGTACGAAAGTGTACCATGGTGGTATAATGGTTGAAATAAAGATAGTAGTATTATACGAACATTCATTTACCACATTCATCATTCTGTACCACTAGTTACCACCCTATACCAAGGTGGTATAGAGTGGTACTTTATAGTTCAGTATTTTTTCCCTAGAAATTTGTGGATCAAATAAATCAAAAGGAATTCGTTCCATTTGTTCAAAAAATTACAAAATTCGAGTTAAAAACGAAGGTGGTAACGACATTGCGAACGACCTTATCAACCAAAAGTGAACAATTAATTAGTTGTTTGACTCTACAAATACCACACTGACAATTAATTCATCCAAACAATCTAATCAACCAGAGAGATAAAATGGAGTACATGTAGGAGAAACAATGACATTAACACAAACATTGCAATACGATTTTTTAATTCCACTGAGATTCTAGACCTCAAACAGTCAAACACAACTTAAAATGCCAGAGGACAACGCAGCCCGTTGCCCTCGTGGTCTCTTATTTAATCCCTGGAAACCAATTCACTAGTGAGCTGATCGTCATGGGTACTATAACACTGTAGTAACGTACAGTAGAATTGTTATTTATGCATAGAAAACCTTCAGCAGTATTTATCGCAGGCTTTAGCAAGCAGCTTGCATGCTTCGATATAGTCATGAGGAGGAGCAACATTAGGGTTCGCCAGTTCGTACTCATTCGTCCATCCTGACAGTCCAGCGTCACTGTCCATCTCAATCTTCAGACTGTAACTCTTGTACATCTCCAGCACCTCTCCTTCTATCACCGTGAACAAGCACGACTTCTTCCCGTCTCCTGCTTCTTCCATGGCTTCTTCTTCCCACTTGAGCTTCACGCTCATTAAGGGGGTCCCAGCTGAATTCAATGTACAGAAATGTAGGATTTTCAATATATGTTCATCTAAGGATGCAATCAAAACGAATAGATAGGACAAAATAAAAAAGACAGTAGTAGTCTTACGGAAGGAATATTGGAGAAGCAATACGGAGCCAGGCCCTGCTGCCTTGTGGCCGCCGCCCATGACCTCAGCAGTCTTGACAACGTCAGGGACCAATTGAGGGAAAGAGGTGAAGCTGTCCCTGAAGAAAGCTGCGATCTTCTCTGGTGATTTCATTGCAACCTTCGTCTCCAGCTTCTGTAGTTGAGCCATGTCGTCGATTGCTTATTACTGATTTACTATCGAGATTGGAGGATGGGTGTGTGAATGTGATTTGTGGGTGGACGGAAGGGCTCTTCTTATAGAGCGATCATAGTGTTAACTAGTAATTTACCTGTTGGAGCACCGAATGTTGGAAAGTATGATAGATGTAGGGAGTAAATATAATTAATGTTGATCAGCTAGCCCACCATTCCCAAAATGGATCGGATGCTAACCCCATTAATCATCATCCTTCCTTTTTTTTTATTTCCAAATCTAATGGTAGATTTTGACTAATTATAGTTTATGGATTTTAATATCAAGTAGGGGCCAGCAATGGGTGGTTGAACCCACAAATCCACCCAAATCCACACGCAATCGACATACTCACTATCATGTGGTTCCTATTGATGGGTGTGGTTGTAAAATAGGTGACCCACAAAAAATTGGTTGGGTGCGAATGGACTGTGGTTGACCCACAACCCACCAAAACATTTTAACCTCAAACCATTGAAGCTCTAACGTATAGCTTTATTGAAAATGAAAGCTTTAAAATCACAAAAATTCCTTTCAATTTTGATAAAACAATTGTGTTGTGAGTTGTGGTTAGGCATTTGGAGGTATGCTTAAGCATAACAGCCGCTTCAATGGGATCTTTTATCCCAGTCGGGGGAAAAATTACCAAACGTTAGTAGACAAATGTCAGAAAAAGGATAGTTGTCTCCTCCAGAATGACATTGACTCACTTCTACTGTCACTCTAGGAATTGGCCAAGTGAAACCACTTCCTAAAGTGTAGTATAGCGGGTTTGGGTTTGAATGTCAACCCGGGTCCTAGATTTGATGACTACTCGGTGAATTCTTGTTATCTAGCAATGAAACTTTAATGCAAGTCTAAACTAACAAACAAGCAAAGCAACTAAACGGTTGTTTTCAGGTTAAGAGAGGTCACCCGGATATGGTTCCCCCTAGACTGCAGTTAAGCCGGATTGCAATTACCAAGTTTAGTTTCTATGATAGTTATACTGCGGAAGGTTCTTAACCAGTCTGAAGTCTCGACTAAAGGTCTCCAGACCCTCTCAATCTGAGTCTCTAGCGGGCGACTAACCTCCACCGTAGTAAACAGATTGAGGCCCTAACGAACAAAACCCCACTACCGAAGTGAATTCGGTACAGAATAGTGAGTTGGCTCCTCGACTAAAGTCACCAACTCCCTACCTTCAATCAAGGATGCTCTATCAACCTAGGCAGATATTCTCATTCTAGGTTAAAGTAGAAACAACAGGAATATGATCAGGATTCATGCCATTCAATCATTCAAACCTCAATTGAATATAATCAAATCATAGAATCAGTACTTGGGTTCATACAATGAAACCTAACATACAAATCTAGGGTTCTCCATACCCAGATGAATGGGAGAACTACTCCATGGAGAAAGAAGCAAAAGCAGAATCAGACGCGGAATTCATACTGTGAAGGATGGATTCCTGCTCCTGGACGTTGATCGGCACTTCTCCAAGCTCAAGCCAAGCTCCAATGGTGATGAAGATCAAGCTAGGGCACTTGGAGACTCTTGTTCGTCGCTTTCTCTCTCTAGGAATCGCTCTGTCTCTCTAAAACTCGAATCCCTTTCTCTTTTGGCTGAAATCTGCTTAAAAGGGCATCACTAGGCAAAACACGGTCGAGGGCACGACCGTGTTCTGCCTCAGCCTGCCCGTGTTTTGCCAAGGGTTAATTACACGGCCATACTGTTGGGGAAAACACGGGCGTGCTTCTGGTGTACACGGCCGTGTTTTTCCTCAACCCTGCCCGTGTTTTGAGCTCGTGTTTTTCAACCCCAGATCAAGTCTCGGCAGTAAAAGCACGGCCTAGGAACACGACCGTGTTCTGATTTAGGTGTGCCCGTGTTTTGGCTCCAGCTTGACCGAATGACTTCCGAATGCCCCGAAACTCGTGCTTAGCCTTTCCTTTGACGCCTGGGACCTGAAATATGACAAAGTAGCACAACCCGGCGTAAAATAGGCCAAAAATACACGACTATGCCCCTCAAACGGATAAGAACAAGGGGTGCAAATACGTGCAATTACATCGATATCAAATTCCCCCACACTTAACCGTTTGCTAGTCCCCAAGCAAACCAAGTCAGACACAAGGTAAGCTCAAAACGTTTCAATCAAGCATGCTTTAGGGCATATCATATCGGCACAAAACACGTGGATCATACTAGCTTTCAATCATTAACACATGAACAACCTCAATGACAACCTAGACAACCACCACAGATGACATTCGAATGCAGTAAAATCGAGCAAAGGAAGAGTCTCCTTTCTGTTCACCAACCAACATAGACTTGACTCAACCACTTATTCAAAACAGTCACTTCATGCAGAAAGCTCAAGATATCAGAATTAAGACCGAGCAATCTAGGTCCTCACCGGGATAAAGAGTATAGAGAATAAGAGAAAATGAATCACTCACTCTCGACCAGTGGGGTCAGGACAATTTGATGCGAAAAATGCGCATGCTTAATCTCTCAATCCCTAACATCTCTTCATCATGAATGCAGCCTCTAAGTGCTAGAGTTCACATATGGGGTGTCACCACTAACTAATCCGGAGGTCTTAGACACAGGTTCAGATGACTGGCTAGGGTCTCGGACATGGGGAAAAGGCCTTTTAGGTGGTGGAAGTATTCATAGCACAAGGTTCCACATTTCCAATCCCAACAAACTCACAGTCAATCAAACCAATAACTTTCTTTCTGCTAGTCTGCATTACTCAAATTCTTCAGAGCACAAGAGTGAAGGAGGTTGCATAAATGCTAGTATTTCTAAGCCAGACTGCTAAGAAACACTACTAAATGGGCATTACTCAGATTTTTGGTGGTGGCTCTCTTTTGCTTTCATTTTTTTTCTTTGTTTTTCTTTCATTATTTTTCATTTCTTAAGAGAACCACCACCTCTGCACATTTTCAAACACATGCCCAACTTTTAAGCACTACCTCCAACCCTCACATTACGTTTAGCAGAAACAGCAGAGAACATGTAAAAACTCACTCTGTGGAACCTTCTAAAAGATGCAAAAGGGTGACTTTTCATTGAAGAGCGAAAGAAAGGAAAACGCACGGCTCAAAGGGGCTGACTAGGGGTATGACACACCAGGACAGTCAATTTGGTCGTGGGCTAATCCTATGCCTCCATCATCTTAGCTAATGACAACGTGAATGCTGCACATTATGGAAGAGGAAACTATTGCACAAGAAAGAAACGAGCAGGCTCAAGTCTCACATGGCTACCTATATGCTCTATCTCTCGTTCTAATTCCCTGAACTAGATGCATAAATGACTGTCAAAAGCAAGTGATCAAACCAAGTCACATTTGGTAAGCAAACAGTTGAAAAACTGAACCCCTACACAATTCTACTGCACATCCCAGTCATCACAATGAGTTGTCTTAGTCACACTCAAGTTGTCATGCATCAAGTCAAAAGCCATTCAATTCACTAATCACATCCACAGTGCCAATACGATCAAACATCAAGCAAACAACCGTGCTTGGAGCCCTCAAATCTCAAGAGTTGGACAGTGGACTAGGCTCAAGCACACATATATACGTTCCAATTAATACAAAGAACCCCCCCACACTTAAATGCAACAATTTCCTCAATGGAGCAGAGGTCAGGAACGTTGACTGGATGGCGGGCCAGTCAAAAGAAGGAGGCACAGAGCTAGAGACAACAAAAACACACACACTGGGTGAAAGAACCAGAGGTCCAGGTTTACAATCCAAGATAAAAAGAAACAAAACAAAACAAAACGAAACAACAAAACATGGAGTCTCAGTTTGGAACACAAATAAAGAACAGAACCAGCTCTAGAAGGCATCACCACGATCGCCAGTGGGTGGAGGGTACTCATCCTCAAACCTTGGGGACTGCACGAACGGGTAGTGGACCGCGTTCAGGTCCAAGCCCAAGTAGGACATAATGTAGTGCTGGCCCGACATGAGACGACGCCCTTGGTCCCGCTCACGATCAAGGCGGGTGTGGATGCGCTCCTGGCCGGCCAGGATGCGCTCGTTCTGCTGAGCGATCGCCGCCAACTGGTCGGAAATGGGCACCACCACTGGAGGAGGAGACCCTGGAGAAGGAGACCGGGGAGCAGGAGAGGGGCTCGCGGGAGCCTGGTCACGACGGACAGCGCGACGGGGAACGCTGCGTCCACCAGTGGCGCTCGACTCGAGCTGGTCGCCCGCTGCAGGTAGAGGTGGTTGATGAAGGCCCGCGATCCAGTGCACACGCCCGTGGCGAGCAACCATGTGCTAGTGGCAGAGAGTAGCCTCCCTGAGCGGGGTTGGCCCGCGGACCAACGTCAACCCCGTGTAGTCAACCCCGTAGTGGCGGGCCAAGGCTGTGATCACCGGGCCACATACAAGGCTGCGAGTTGTGCTGCTGGCGGCTTTAGTGAACGTCCGGGCGAGCACAGAGCCCAGCTGGATGGTGTCCTCAGAACGACCCATCGCATCCATGAACCAGAGTGTCCGGAGTGTGACCCAGCTGGATGAACCTTTGCTGGGTGTGTAGGAAGTGCAGAGCAAGTGGTTGAGGATCCGCCACTCCTGACGGAGAAGAGCAGCCCGCGTCTGGCTGGCAACGTACTCTTCATCCGCATTTTTCGGCAGGCAAATGCGCTGAAAGTACGCCTGGGAAGCAAAGTCGGTGGGATCAGAGAGGTCCAAGCGTAGGGGCGGCCCGCCGGCCTCCCGGGAATTGAGGCGAAGTGCATTGGCGAACTCCCAGTAACTGAGAGAGTTCGCCACCCCGCCGAGTGTGAACTGAACTGCATCAGCATGGTCGGAGTTCCCCTTCGAGTTGTGGTGGAAGGTGGCGTAGAACTCCCAGACTAGCTCCCTGTAGGTCGGCTCGACGAGGGTAGGAAGACGGACGCCGCCAACCATAGGTGCGGACCACGGCCTCCATCTGTGGCCTGACATGAAGCGCCTTGAACACCTCCCAATTGAGGTGCAGGTGCTCGGCGATGGTGCGG